TAAATAAATAAATAAATCTCAGAATCCATCTGGTAGTGCATATTTTTAACCTTAAAACATTCCCTTTCACATTTGTATTCCCTGAAATGCAAAGCAATTGGGCCTGGGTGCTCTTCTTGCTTTCTCTACTCAACATTGGGGGTAGGGGGTGGAACAGTATAGAATGTGATCCAGATGAGGGGGAAAAAAAACCACATCACCACAGGAAGTGTTTCCTAATGAAGAGTATCTGACTCCTTTGGAATCTGGAAAGATTATACATGTAGACACTCTTCTATTCCCCAACTCTAGCCATGGGTTTGCATTTTCCCCAGATCTTGGAGATGGACCACATTTGTCTCTGTGGGTATCTGAAGGACACAGTGTGACATAGCAAAGAGTACAGAGTTTAAAGCCAGACAAATCTAGTCTTCTTGTGCCTCAGTATCCTCATCTGTAAACTGAAAATGGTAATACCCACCTCAGTTGGTGTTGTGAGGATTAAATGAAATGTTATGTAAAAGCACATGATGGGCACTAAAATCATATTTCTCTTCCTCCATGACACCCAACACACAAAGAAATTTCTAAATCTAAGAAAATCAGACAAACCCCATGGAGGATAAGGATCCAGTCACTGTGCACTGTAACAGAGAGGATTAAGAGAACACGGCATCTAATGTCACAACCAATGATATATCTAATTTGATCAATTTAATGCAACACCAGTTGGCTCCAGCTCAAGGTGATCAGTCAACTGTCCAAGTTTGCCTTGGGACTGAGGTGTTTCCTGTGTTGTGGGACTTTCAGTGCTAAACTAGGAGAGTCCCAGGCAAACCAGGATGATTGGTCACCCTGCTTCCCCAGCAATCATTAGATTACCACGAATTCTGTATTGACTCTTATCTTGGTGGGAACAACTTCCCCCAGATATACAACAAAAGGTTCAGATGTGATTTTTTTTAAGCCCTTAAGCTATATTTATCTTCTTCCTTCCTTCCACTACCAAACTTCTCCAAAGAGTCTTCTTCACTCACTGTCTTTCTGCTCAGCTCATGTCCTCTCTCAAAGTCACTCATCTGGTGTAGCTCCAGAGCCTGGCAGAGGATCTTTAAATAGCAGTATTAAAAAAAGAGAACATTGGGCCGGCCCGGTGGCGCACTGCTACAGTGCGCCATAGCTCCAGAGCCTGGCAGAGGATCTTTAAATAGCAGTATTAAAAAAAGAGAACATTGGGCCAGCCCGGTGGCGCACTGCTACAGTGCGCCACTTGGAAGCGCGGTGGCGCTCCCGCCGAGGGTTCGGATCCCACATACAGACCGGTTCCCGCTCACTGGCTGAGCGAGGTGTGGGCGCAACACCGAGGGTTGCGATCCCGTTGCCGGTCCCGGTCCGGTACAGGCGCAACACTGAGGGTTGCGATCGGTTGCCGGACACGAAAAAAAAAAAAAAAGAGAACATGCATTGTTGTCTCTTAAAGAGATATTTGCCAATAACTTCAATGAGATGGAGAGCAATAAGGCTCTACCACAAATGTTTCCAGCTTCAATAACACTGTTCCCAAGAACCATACTCCATAGCGCTGAAGGGTAAGAAATGTCTGGGTTTGGAGTGCACCACCAGTGTCCCTCCAGCCAGACACATCCCTGGTGCTGCTGGGACAGAGTTCTCACTAAACGCGTGGAGCACACAGACCTTCCTTTCCCCTCCCAGGGACTGGGCTCTACTTCGTGACATAGCAGGCTGACAGATATGAAGTTGGACATTCCTGGTGCTGGTAGCTTTTTTCACACAGCTTTACTCCATTTGTGATCTGACTCTTCTTTCCCATCTGAAAACCAGTAGGGGACTCTGAGTCATCCAGACTCCATCCTTATTTATGAATTTCTCTTCTGAATGGAAAGCAGATGGTCACATTCTCCCAGCCAGGACACAGGCCCTGTCAACACTGAAGTATGTGCTTAATGGCTTTCCCCTCTCCTCTTCCAGCCATGGTTTGAACAGCCAAGAGTCCCCATGAAAAGCTGAAATGCCACATTTGCTGTCGTGAGCTCTTTCGGGACCTCCCATAAGCATGGCGTTATCGTCATTGTTTTTAATTTTGAAGTAGCACTGAGGCTCACTCTTTTGTCTACATCTGCAACAACATAGTCCTGACTTTTTTGGCTCTCCTGTCTTTTCTTCTCTGGCTCTATTTCTTCCTAATGCCCCCAGAAGTGGTCATACTGGGCTATGACCAAATACTTCATGGCTCAGATTTCTATTCTGATGGGGATCTGAACCCTTGACCTTGGTGTTAGCACCACACTGTAACCAGCTGAGCTAACTGGATAGCACCTCCCAAAAATTTAAACAAAATACTAATAGTTACCAATGTTGAGAATGAGTCACCTAAATTTTCTTACTATTTGTTGGTTTTAGAAGCTATGTAATATAAAATATATCTTCTTTTAATGAAAACCCATAAGCTAAAAATTAAAATTTTTTGAGCTTATTTTCTATGCAAAATAATCACATCATAATTAATATTTTGATTTCTTTCTATTTCCTTCTATCTTTGTTTTTTAAATAATTTACGTACCAATCACTATGTGTAATTACATTCTCTAAAAATTATGGTTGAAATATAAATAAAATTTACCATTTTAAAGTGTAAAAAAATAAAATCAGATCATTTGGTGGATAAGTAGGGAAAAAAAAAAGATTTCTATTCTTTGTTCCCACTTCCCCAATTATGGCTTCCTCTCTCACTTTTAAGTGGATAATTCTCAAATCTGTATTGCTGCATTCTGATCCCTCATCTTCCTATCCACATGATCTGTCACCACCTTAAGGATCTTGTATTAAACTTGGGAGACCCATCTTTCCTCCCATAATAGTTCCCTCTTCAGACCTCTGCTTTTCTCAGAATTATAGCCAACATTATCTTTTCTTTATTCAAAATCTTGGCATCAACTTTGACTCTTCTTTCCTCATCTCCTGTCTCATTGTGCCTTCTTCTACTGTCATCAGTCCCGTCCATTCAAGCCTCCATCACATTCTCTACATAGCAGTTTCTAACTCTAGCTCCTCCGACTGCATCCATCACTCCACCACTCCTAGTTAACACTCGAATTACTCCTCATGGTTAAATTGTTCATTACTGTCAACCAAATAATTTCAGATGCTTAGGCTGATACTTAAGTATTTCTATAGTAAGTCCACAATGGATTTTTTTTTTCCAGGAGTGACTGGAATACAGCAGGAGTCTACCTGCACATTAAATTGCATGTTAAAAGATCCAGTGGCTGAACAAAAAATAAAGATGTGTTCTTTGCTTCATCCTATTCTGCTTTATTTCAGTCTATTTTAGTCTGCTCAGGCTGCTATAACAAAATACCATAGACTGGGTGGCTTATAAACAACAGAAATTTGTTTTTCACAGTTCTGGAGGCTGGGAAGTCCAAGATCAAGATGCTGGCAGAATCAGTGTCTGGTGAAGGTCTGCTTCCTGGTTCATGAATAGCCGTCCTTTCACTGTGTCCTCACATGGCACAAGTAGCAAAGAAACTCCCTCAGCCTTTTATAAAGGGCACTAACTCCATTCATTAGGGCTCTGCCCTCATGACCCAATCACCTCCCAAAGGAACCCCATCTTCAAATACCATCACATTGGGGATTAGGTTTCATACTATGAATTCTGGGGGCACACAAACATTCAAACTATAGCTCTGGGGGCACACAAACATTCAAACAGTTCAACCCTCTTGGCTCTGTTTAGCTTCTTCTCTGGCTTCAACACCTCAGTTTATCTTCTTCTGGGACCTAAACCTGTTTGATGTTCTGGCTTGCAACTTCTCATCTGCCTCCTGACTCAGGCTGACTATTAGGAGGATAAAGCAATCTGGTACAATCCCTCTGTCACTCTCAGTAGCCCCACCAGTCTCTAGAACAGGGATTCTCACTGATTAATGTGCATCACAATCAGATGGGGAGCGTGTTAAGAAAATGAATTCTAGGACACACCCCCTCATTCAGGTAGGGGTGCTGACAGCATCTACAACAGGGCAATCCAATAGGACTTCCTCTGAAGATGGAAATATTCTATTCTGTGTTGTCCAGTAGAGTAGCTACTAGCCATATGTGGCTCTTTGAGCACTTGAAATGTGGATAGAGTGACTGAGGAACTAAATTATTAATTTTATTTCATTTTGATTAAATAGTCATGTGTAGCTGGTGGCTATAGGTTTAACAAGTAACACAGGTGATTGTAATGAACAATTATGTTTAAGAATCATGTTTACAAGCAGTCCAGGTGAACCTTATGCTCACTTACTGGCACATGGTAGGTAATCAACAAGTGTTTGTTGAATAGATGGATGGATGAACCATTGAATAAATGAATGAACCAGACTATAATTCCCTTGAGATTTAAGGCTGCCTCTTCTGGAAAACAAAAGTTGGGGGACTCTTCCAAATTAAAAGAGGCTAAAAAGACTTAACAACCAAGCATTAAGTAGCTTTCCCAAAGTCCCAGAGCTACCCACCTGTACAGCCAGGACTGAAGCCTGTGCGGTCTGCCTCCTAACCACTGCACATCCCATCACTCAAAAAACCTGCATCTCCGCTTTCTCTGGAAAAATCAGAAGATCTGGCAACACATTCCCACATGGGACCAATTGACCAGAGCTGAGTAGCATCGTTCTCCTGAAGGCAGGAATCTTCTCTTCCTCTTGACAGAGTCCCCACTCAGCCTGCTGCTGGGGCCTTTGACCCCTGCACTAGCCACAGCGCAGCTGAATATACCTCGGTGAACGGCACATGATAGGTATTCCACAGACACTTATACGCTGCCCCAGACCAAGTTGGATTTCAGACTGACCTCTAAGTAGACATAATGTCCCAGTGAGAGAGAAGGTTAGGAGGTAAGATTGGGGGCCAGACTGAGGGCAGGGAGGGTGTTTGGAATGCTAGGATAATTGTCGGTAGACAACGGAGAAACGTTACAGGAAGCAGAAATTTAAACATCCATGGTTGGTAACATGCCCCATCAGAATGCAGTGTGGGTCAGTGAAAAGAGCATGGGCCCACATGGCCTGGGTTGGAAGCCTGGTTCCTTTTCTTATCTGCTGTGTGACCGTGGACAAGTTACTAAACTCCTTCAAGCTTCCATTCCCTTAACTGTAAAGTGGTGGCAATGACACTCCCAGGGTGGTGAAAGGAATTTAAGTGAGAAAGTATGTGAAGTCTGTTTGTCCCCTGTTAATATAGGAAACCATAATACTTTTCTTACTAATCACTCATATTCATATTTTCATGTTTCCCCCTAGAGTTAAGAAACAAGAAGAAATTGGGAAGCTATGGTAAGTACCAGGTGCTTACTGGAGCGTCACTTTCAGAGGTCCAGGTCTGACTTTATTTAGCCTGTAGCCCAAGCAGATGGCAGACTTATCCTTATGGTTTGGTAATATTTTTTGGCTTTTTCTCAAGCTGGAGATGCTGAATAAAACCTGGAAGAAATTGATGCAGAGTAAGGGAAAAGCAGTAAGTTGAGCAAAAATTTTTAGTGAAAATTTTAAAATAAAATAACAAAATAAGTCAGCAACAATCTAAATAGCTAACAGTCCCTTCATTCAGCAAATATTACTGAGCACCTACAATGGCCCAGGCCCCATGCAAGGTGCTGGAGATGCGAATGTGAGCAAAACCAGACGCGGCTCCTGTCTCTCAGCAGGCCTCTCTGGTGGTAGTCAGTCAAATGAATGACAGCACAGCCATGTTCTGGAATGTTACACTGCCATTACCAAGAGAGTTTGCAAGGAATAATTAATAAAACAGTCTAGTCTCATGTTAAAAAGCAGGATGCAAACCTGTATTCATAGTATTAAGTATGTCATATAAATCACTCATAATCCACAACAAAAAAATGACAGTTGTCAACATTGTAGTCCATTACATCTAGCTTTTTCAAAATTCTAAACATATCTACTATATACATGGAATAAACTATCGGAAATTTTTTTTTTTTTTTAATATAAAGATGACCGGTAAGGGGATCTTAACCCTTGGCTTGGTGTTGTCAGCACCACGCTCAGCCAGTGAGCCTATTGGAAAATTTTTGAAAGAGTATTGATAGTTGTCATTTCTGGGTTGTGGGATTATGAATGGTTTTTGCTTTCTGCTCTATGATTTTCTATATAGTACAAGGTTTCCACAAAAAAACATGTATAAACAGGAAATAAGTCAGTTAAAACACAGTCACAGACATGCATACAGCTTCTCTTCCAGTGTTCATTTGTCTTCTCTTTCCCCTTGCCCTTGGCATGTCCAGGGCAGAGCACACAGGCCCCCACCTGGGCAGCACAGGCACTGTGAGGGATGCTTCAACCGCCACTGCCACGTTCCTGTGGAGCCCAATGTCTCCTGCCTGGTGATCAGCTGCCACCTACTCTGTGGTGCTACCTTCCACATGTGCAAAGAAGCAGAGCATGAGCTCCTCTGCCCTTTAGAGCAGGTCCCGTGCCTCAACTCTGAATATGGCTGCCCCCTTTCCATGTCTCGCCACAAGCTGGCCAAGCACCTGCAGATGTGCCCCGCCAGTGTGGTCTGCTGCTCCATGGAGTGGAACCGCTGGCCAAATGTGGACTCTGAAACAACCCTTCATGAGAACATCATGAAAGAAACCCCTAGTGAGGAGTGTTTAGACACAGCCCTGGCCCTCCAGGACCAGAAGGTCCTCTTCAGATCCTTGAAAATGGTAGAACTTTTCCCAGAAACTAGAGAGGCCACTGAGGAAGAACCAACTATAAATGGTGAAGCCAGTTGGGAGGAAATGGGAGGAGCAGTGGGTGGAGTGGAGGCCAGTTCATCACCACATGGCTGTCTGTCAGTAGCCAATGGGGAGATGGCAGAGCTGAGTCAAGAAGAACGAGAGGCATTAGCTAAAACCAAAGAAGGGGTGGACCTGGCCAAGTTTGGCAAGTGGGAAAATATGTTCAGCAAAGAGCATGCAGCCTCTGCGTTAACAAATTCATCAGTGAGCTGTGACAGCAAGAGCAGGAATGGCCCAGGGATAGAACAGATTTCCAGTGGCAATACTGTGGTAGATGGGGAGGGCACTGTTGAAGGGAGAGGACCGCAGGAAAACCAGAAGCAGCGGGAGTTTCATGCAACCGTGGAAAAGGCAGGGCTTGCCCCTTGGCAGGACGGTGTTCTGGAAAGACTGAAAACAGCTGTGGATGCAAAGGATTATAACATGTATCTAGTGCATAATGGGCGGATGCTTATTCACTTTGGTCAGATGCCTGCTTGTACACCTAAGGAGAAAGACTTTGTTTATGGCAATCTTGAGGCTCAGGAAGTTAAGACTGTTTACACCTTCAAAGTTCCTGTGAGCTACTGTGGAAAGCGAGCTCGAATTGGAGATGCTATGTCGCGTTGTAGGCCAAGTGAACACAAGGCAGTAGATACTTCAGATCTGGGGATCACTGTGGAGGATCTGCCAAAATCCGACCTCATCAAGACCACCCTCCAGTGTGCTTTGGAAAGAGAACTCAAAGGTCATGTCATCTCGGAATCCAGGAGCATTGATGGGCTCTTCATGGATTTTGCCACACAGACATATAACTTTGAGCCAGAACAGTTCTCCTCTGGGACAGTGCTGGCTGACCTCCTCACCACTGCCAACCCAGGGGGACTTCACGTGGAGCTCCACAGTGAGTGTGTGACCCGAAGACACAATAAGAGCAGCTCTGCCTTTACTTTCACTTGCAACAAATTCTTCAGGAGGGATGAATTCCCCCTGCACTTCAAGAATGTCCACACAGACATCCAGTCATGTCTCAATGGGTGGTTCCAGCATCGATGCCCCCTTGCCTACTTGGGATGTACGTTTGTTCAAAACCATTTCCGCCCCCCAGGGCAAAAGGCAAAAGTGATCTATAGTCAGGAACTCAAGACCTTTGCCATCAAGCCAGAGGTTGCTCCAGAGCTAAGTGAAGGAAGGAAGAACAACCATCTCTCAGACCATGGAGGAAAAAGCCAGAATTCTCTAACCAGCTTGCCCCTGGAGGTTTTGCAGTACATTGCTGGGTTCTTGGACAGCGTCAGCCTGTCCCAGCTCTCCCAGGTGTCTGTGCTGATGAGGAATATCTGTGCAACTTTGTTACAAGAGCGAGGGATGGTCCTTTTGCAGTGGAAGAAGAAGAGGTATTCCCATGGAGGCACCTCCTGGAGAGTCCACAGGGAGGCAAGTAAACACTCATTTACTTATTTATTCATTCATTTAACAAATATTTATTAAGAGCTTTCGATGTGCCAAGCACTGTACACCTCCTGGAGAGTCCACAGGGAGGCAAGTAAACACTCATTTACTTATTTATTCATTCATTCAACAAATATTTATTAAGAGCTTTCGATGTGCTAGTAGGGAAAACAGACATATAAATGTAAATAGCAATACAGATGGTAGTACCTGTTTATCCCTCTAGATGTATCCTAAATAGCTTCTGTTTGCTCACATGACATTCTCCATCCTTCTCCACCCTGGTCTGTCCTCTAGGAGGTTAATCTACAGATTGCCTCAACTGGCTCCTTTGACTTCCAGCTTCCAGTAGGGCTAATCTAAGAAGAGTGTGTCTGCAGGAGATGGGAGGGAGGGGAAGACTGATCTGCACATATCTATTCTGGCTTCCTCCCTGCCTGCCTGCTTCCTTTTATGACACTTTGGATTGGCCATGTCCCTCCATGGACAGTGGCTACATCAAGTGGTTCTTGCCACACAATTACTCATTCTGGGTTCCAATGACTCCCTTTCTCTTCCCCTTCAGGCCTAGGGCAATAACTCTCTGTATTGTTACTAGCCCTGGGTCATGCACTATGTCATGTGGCTTTTCTATACGCTGCCCACATTTTTATAAATAATTCCTTTTAAAAATTCTCTTCAAATTACCCAGTTTGAGTGTGCCATCTGTTTCCTGCTTGGATTGTGACTGATACAATAGGCCAACAAATTGCCCTCAGTCCCATGTCAACTAATTTTTTAGGACAGTTTTTTGCCTTTGATAAAGACATTTTGAAGTTCTAAGTGAATTTGGCCCACTAATTTCCTCAGGTTCAAATGCTTTTTTTAATTTTTCAAAAAAGCTGCTGTATAAATCAGAGAATCTTCCCCTTCAAAAAATCCTTGTTCCGGGCCGGCCCGTGGCTCACTCGGGAGAGTGCGGTGCTGATAACACCAAGGCCCCGGGTTCGGATCCCATGTAGAGATGGCCGGTTTGCTCGCTGGCTGAGCGTGGTGCTGACAACACCAAGTCAAGGGTTAAGATCCCCTTACCGGTCATCTTTAAAAAAAAAAAAAAAATCCTTGTTCCTTTTCCCAGATTGGGCCATGTTTAAGGTCAGAGTTATGATACAAATGTTTATAGTTTATGAAAGTGACCATTTTTCAAAAGTGGCAATTTGTTTGGAGAAAGGACATAATACCACCTCGGAAGTGCACCATAACTACAGGCATTGTGGCCTGCAGAGAATGAGGGAGAGACGAGATGGCCAAAAGTTCCTTTCAATTTGTTTGGAGAAAGGACATAATACCACCTCGGAAGTGCACCATAACTACAGGCATTGTGGACTGCAGAGAATGAGGGAGAGACGAGATGGCCAAAAGTTCCTTTCGGTATTTTTCAAGATGTGACTCACAGATGGGTCGACCATTCTGTGTAGCTCCTACCCAAACCAGTTGAGATAGACGAAATCATATGTGTTTTACCAGCACATACCTATTCGTGATTGTGTTCTCTGTTTTTTTACAAAAGCAATAGATAGGAAATACAAATACACCAGTTACAACTGTTGTGGTCCCTAGTGCTAATCCCAAGACCACAATTAGAGGTGCAATGAATAATTTCCCAGCACAGGCCAACCCTCCTACTAATCTCCTTAAATGAGGTTTCTCTGGGAAGTAGCAATATTTGTATCCAAAAATACTGAAGTTTGATGTGTAGTATCCAAAGAAATGGATTTGGTGGTATTTCTTCCCACATCAATAACAAAAATTAGCATTACATTGTGAAAACATCACAGGGTCACATCCTTTATTTTTCTGGATGTGGATAGTTGGGACTTGGTAGTCCACAGTCCAAGGGGCGCATTTGATGAGGGTCTTTTTCTGGATGGACTCTGCAGCAATGCAGGGTATCATGTGGCGAATGGCTTGAGCAAGAGAGCTGTTAGCCACTCAAATATCATTTAGAACAAACTAATTTCCTTGCAGAAAGGAATAAAGAAAATTTAGTTGGGGCTAGAGAATACTCATATTAAAATGGCTTTTTAAAATAAAAAAGGAAATAGTTCTAAGATCCCAGGAAACACTTTTCCTACATAGAAACAATGTAGAAACTGAGGGTGGAGTAGTCAGGTTGAAAGGGTATCAGATTATTCCTACCCTCATAACCAAATTTTAAAAATAGAGACTGCACCACATCCCACGTGGAAAGATCGGAAAGTATTTAATTGAGCACCAGACTCAGAATTCTCTTATGGGGTTCCTGTTCTAGTGAGACCCTTATAAATTAGGATACTTTTAATTTCAAATAATAGAAAACCAATCTAAGGTGGCATAAATAATAAAGGGAATTTATTGGCCAATATAACTGAAAAGTCCAAAAATAATGACTTCCGGTAAGGCTTGATCTAGCAGCTCAAAAAATGCCCCCAAATTACCTTTTTTGCTTTCCATTTCTTACCTCTACTTTCTCACTAATGGCTCCATTCTAAGACAGTTATCCCTTGGTGGTCCCTGGTGGCTGCTGGCAGCTCCTAGGACTGCAGCTTCACAGTTCAAGTATAGAAGGAAAGAGAATCTGCTTCTTGATATCTTAAACAGAAGTTCTGGAGAGTCGAGTGTGACTGGTACTAACTGTCCTGATTTGAACTGTGTGTCTATCTAGAACTAATCACTGCTGCTGGTGGGGGAGCAGCAGAGCATTTGTCAGTATGCTGATTGGTGTTAGTCATTCCTACACAACTACATGGCTGGCTGGGAAGATTATTAATTGGAAGGTGAACTAGGAATTGGATGCCGGGGAGGGAACTAACACATGTCTACAGCAGCCACTAAAACTGGAAGCTAAAAACAGGAAGAAAAGAAAGGCTTTTCTTTACATTAGTCAAAGAAAGCCAGCCTGAGGATATTGCTCCAGTGTTCACCTTTGAGCTTCTATCTTTCCCAACAGATCTGGCAGTTCAGCAGCCTCTTCTCCAAAATCAAGAGCTGGGATTTTAATGAAGTCACCTCCATGTCTGAGCACCTGAAGGCCTGTCCTTTCAACATTGTAGAGCACAAGACTGACCCCATACGTCTGACCAGCATGTGTCAATCCCGTAAGCAGGCCCGGGAGAGCTTAGTCTCCACCTTTAGAGCCAGACCACGAGGAAGACATGTCTGCTAAACATTCAGATTCCACTGTTCTTGGATTTCTCTGTGGAGTTATTGAAAGTAGGACAGAGAGTGGTTTTTGAGGACTCCCTACTGTATACTGCATATGTGCTTATCTGGGTGTACTGGAACACGCAATGTCTTTCAAACCCTCAGCAGTCACATAGGCCTAAGAATTTCTTAAGCCATGGCTTATACTTCCTAAGCCATGGCTTAAGAGTTTCTTAAGTTATGGCTTGTATTATAGTGCCATATGGATGACTTATTTCTTTTCTTTTCTTTTTTTTTCCTTTCCTAAAATAGATGAGTCCAAAGAGAAAATAAGTAACTTGAGGGCATTTGGAAGATGAACCTAAGTTTTTAGAAGAGAGAGCAATGAAGTCCCATAACCAGCACAGAACTGAGCTTTCACGCAGGGCTTTTTAGTTTACAAATCACCTTCCAATTCATGGGGAGGCAATGCAGGGACAGGACTGGGGTGCAGATAGTTACCTCCCAGTGCACCCAGGGTGAAGGGCACACAGCTGGAAGGCTCTAGAGCTGGGGCTATCTTGACAGTCAAGACTGGGGCTGCTTTTAGTCACCCTACTGCTTCTAAGCCCAGGTGGTCCCAATACAGCCAGACAGAGTAGATCTCTGATGGCTGAGCACTGCAGCCTCAACACCACAGGCCAAAAGATGAGGGGCAGAAATGAAGTCGCAGAGTTTGTTTATAAAATCTTGGCAACAGATAGAAGGAAAGCCTTGAAAAATGAAGGTAAATCCAAAGGAGACACTATTTATGGAGAAAATTAGGAAAAAAAAGCCACAAGCCTACTTTTTCACATTTCAGTAATGACTTAAGAGTTAAGGTTGCGGGCTGGCCCGGTGGCGCACTGGAGAGTGCGCCGCTTGATAGCATGGCGGCGCTCCCGCCAAGGCTTTGGATCCCATGTGGAAACCGGTTCCCGCTCACTGGCTGAGCGCGGTGCGGGCGCAACACCGAGGGTTGCGAGCCCATTACCAGTCAGTAAAAAAAGACAAAAAGGAGTGGAAACCGGTTCCCGCTCACTGGCTGAGCGCAGTGCGGGCGCAACACCGAGGGTTGCGAGCCCATTACCAGTCAGTAAAAAAAGACAAAAAGGAAAAAAAAAAAAGAGTTAAGGTTGCTTTCTTCTGAAAATTATATTCTAGGTTTGGGTTAGGGAGAGCATAGGCATAGCCCAGCACCACCCTGTGCTATCTGAAATGACTTCAATACACTAATACAAACCTCAGTGGTATGCCAGAATGCACGCCATAGCTCAAGGAGACCACGCATTTGGCAAAACCAGACAATGCCTTCTGCAGTTCCTGTGGAACCAGTCACTAGGTCCTAGACACCACTTGGGTACCCCAATGGGGGTCCTGGAGAGGAAGACATGTGAATATAATGGCTCCCTGAAATTGCTCCTACTTATTGGTGGTCATGCCACCAGCCTGTCAAAAATAGATGATACTGCTGTTTTGAGTAACAAACAGTGACTATAAGAGCAGAAGTAAAAAAAAAAAAAAAATACACAATAGAAACCAGCATCCCCTAAAGCAGGGTTTCTCAACCTCGGAACTACTGACATTTTGAACTGGATAATTCTTTGTTGTAAGGGACTGTCCTGTGTATTATATTATTTATATTATATTTAGCAGTATCCTTTGTCTCTATCCATTAAATGCCAGTAGCACCCCTACAGTGGTAACAACCAAGATGTCTCCAGATATTGCCAATTGTCCTCTGGGAGCAAAATGGCTCCTGGTTGGGAACCACTGTCCTAAAGGATGTCATACCACTGACCGGGAGTTAGTTTACACTTTTTTTCAGTACAGCAAAATTCTATCTCATGTAGCTATGCACGTGGTTATGATTTAATGAAGTTCTTCTTTACTTACTAAGTAGGTTTTAGACGTTCTAATTTTAAGTTGGGAACGAGATGGATCTGATTTGTTTGATATGGCTTCACGTCCTCGGGCCACATGCGAGAACCCATCTTTCAGCTCTCTCTGGGTAAACCTGAAGCCAGGAAAGTCGAGCTATTTGTCTCATGTTTATGTGCCTGTTACCTTAACTGGTGCCATTTCCCCAGCAGTTCTAGCAGTCCTTAAGCAAGTGAGGAATTGGGAGAAGGAAGGACAGTGGCATTGCAGGGAATCAGAGAACAAAGAATTTAGCCAACAAAAGAGTCTTGTCAGTCTGGCTTCTTGGTACGGTCTGGGTCTCTCTCTGAACAAGGTTCAGAGCTGGACCTTGTGGAAGTAGACGACACCTCTGAGAAGAGTCAAGAAGGCAGGAAAGCAAGTCCCAGACCAGAAATATGCTCATCTTTCCATTGTAATGTGCCCCTTGGTACTATTTGGTAATGTAATCTATTTTTCTTAATCCTTGTTGTTTCATTTATATTTCACACTTGTATATAAAGCGCCCTTTCTAAAAATATAACTAGAATGTAATCTAAGGTTTTATTCATTGAATATGAATGGCTGGAAACAACTAAATGCTGAAGTGGGAAAGAAGGAAGAGAGATCTGCAGGTATCAGTTCCATGTGTTTTGCAGCCAGTCCTTCCTCCATGGAGGAAGAAAGCTCCTGGAGTCCACTCATTTTATTAGAAAAAGAGAGAAAGGGGAACTATAGACCAACGGAGATGAAAATCAGGGGCTGTGGTTAGACAGATGAGAAGCAAGGTGCTATATAGAGAAAGACAGCGGAGGGCTTTCCCTTCACAATCTGCGTGGGAGGGGGCTTATAGACCAACGGAGATGAAAATCAGGGGCTGTGGTTAGACAGATGAGAAGCAAGGTGCTATTTAGAGAAAGACAGCGGAGGGCTTTCCCTTCACAATCTGCGTGGGAGGGGGCTGCCCAGGTTCAGGAGAGCAGTGAGGCACTGCCCCCAGCTGCTCTGTGGCTTTCAGCTCACTTTCTTCTCCCGATGGCTGCCTTCAGAGCAGTATCGAATCCACCTCATCAAGTGCATCCTGTATCTAATTACATATGTTGCAGGAAGCCAGGGTATTACTGGTATCCCCTGGTCCATAGAAAGGAGCACATTTTATGGTGAGAGGGCAGATGGAGTCAAAGGGAAGTCTTTCAGAGAGACTGTGGATTGGACAGCGATGGTTTGATCAGTGAGATGAGGCTGTAGTGAGCCGCATGTGCCCCCAGTGTTGTCTGATAGAGGCATGACAGCTAGACATGGCTTCAGATTAAGAAGCAGCTGAGGAGGTGAAGAGGGACTGTATACACAGGAATAGGAGCCTGGATGGAGAGATTCTACAAGCACAGCCCTGGTGAATATCACTGCCAAGAAAGACATCCAGAGCAGAGGTCAGCCGAACATGCGGGGCGAGGACCTTGCTGCCTTAGTAGCATGGGGATCTGGAAAAGAAGCTTCTGTCTTATAATGAAGGGAAAAGTGAAATGCAAGGTGGAACTTGGAGATGTATCAGGAAAACCACTGGAAAAGTCTTATTTATGTATGTGTAAAGTCAAATCAAACTGAAATGAAGAATGAGATTGTGTACATCTATGGTGACTTACCTCCATGTACTGGAAATCCCAATGTCTCTATAAGAGGAAATAAAAGCTGCTTCGCACTCTGAGACGTTAACTGGGTGAATCTTGTGAGTTAGATCTAGAGATAGATTTGTGATTCACAAGCATAGACATCATCATTGAAACCAAGAAGTGTATATCTTGAAGAAAAGCCAAGGAACAAGCCTGAGGGACGCAGGGCTCTAGACACATGGGCAGCTCACCAACTCTTTGAAGTCTGGAGCAACTGTGGGTCTCAGCCTCTAATCCAGCCCTTCCTTGATCCCGGTGCCTTCTCTCTCTTTGAAAGCTGGACCCAACTTTGACAGTAGTAACAGCACAGACTTCTATGTGCTACCAACCAAGTCTCTCCCTTTTGTTTTGATTTTGCCCTAAGATCTCCTATCTCTTACCTTGCTGAGGCTCAGCACAATGGCCTGGGGCCAGGATAAACCTGCCTTGCCCTGGCCTCCCATTTTCCCTTACCCCCGTATTTTGCTTAGTGATTCACTTTTTGCCAGTCACTGGCTGTGCAAATGTCCTTTCTTCTTTTCCTATCTGCCTCCTGTCTGGACTACCCAGCAGCATCACACACTTCCTCCATCCATCCTCTTTCCTGGCCACTAATTTCAGTCTTCCAGCTGCAAGGAATCCTGGACTTTCTTGAGCAGAGGCTACTGCCTTTGGCTCCAAATTCTCTTAAACATCACCTGAGTTTGTTCTTTAGCTTTAGTCTTTCCTGTTGCCAAACCTCCCTTTTCTTTCTTCCTATCCCCTAACTTGCTCTTTCCCCTCAAGAACCACTGCATCCTGAAAAAGTGTGGTCATTACTCCCAGGAAGAAGGTGACTGGCCTCCCACAACTGCTAAAGGCAGTAAAAGTTGAACTGACTTGATGTGGATACCACTTGGCCCTGTTACTTTACCTTACAGCCATCCCACAGGCTGATCTGTTTTGGACTGGGTTTAAAGTGTGGTCTAAGGAACAAGCCTAGCCCCTGACATCCAGGGTGCAGGGGGATGGGCAGTGGTAAGAGGGAGTCATCTGGATATAACTGAAAGAGGGAAGAAGAATTGGAACTATGAGAGTCAGGGCCATTGAGGGTTGCACAAAAAATACTATTTACCTCAACATAGCAGTTCATAAATGCTGAACCATAGTCCAACTTTATTTCCAATTTTAGGACTGAGCAGAGAGAAGGTTCAGAGATATCTCTGCAGGGGAGGAAGGTGGACAAATAGCACAACCAAGCAAACCAGGCAATCTAGACATACCTTGCCAGGTAAGCAAACCTGGGAAGCCCAGAGCTCACAAGGAAGGACAGCAGAGCTTAGGGTGTGTGTTGGGAGGGCACTCATGCAGAAGGAGGCGCGACCACAAGATAATGTCCATGAGTTCATACAGGTTAGAGAGGACACTGAGAGGAAGAAGAGCCCCTTCCTCATGCTGACTGCCCCAAGCACTTAATGAAGTAGGAGAGGGAAGTCTGTCCAGAACCTCAGGCAACCTGAGTATCCTGTTGGAGCAGGAATCGGGAGGCGGTGGAGCAAAGCCACTTTGGACCTGGGAAGTCACAGCTGCAGTAGACGTGAGGACCAGTCACTGTACGAGCTTGACATAATTTGCTGGGAAGAGTCCGAAGTGGCCACGGCAACGTCCCCGCCACCAGCCCTCGTCCACCATCTCAATGTCAGTGATGATGTCCTCTGGATCAAAGGAAAGCTCATCACTTCCCTCTGGGGAGAAAGTTGAGGGGACATTAGAATGGTCACAGAGGAATCCCTCCATCCCCATGCCCACCCTAAACCTCGGGGAGGGAAACAGAACTGGCCTTCTTCTTGATGCCAAGACTGGGCCCTTCCCTGACTCCCAGAATCCATCCCCCTCTCTTGTATCAGGGGCCTCCCCCAACCTACCTCCTTGGTAATCATACAGGGCTACAGCTGAGATTCCCATGGCCCCAGCCCCAACTGGGCAGCCTGAAGATCCTGCATAATGAGAAATATCAACATGGCCTCACCAACGGGGGAAAGGCAAACAGAGACACATCCTGCTGGACAACGGGAAAATTTCTTTCTGCTACCCTCCCCTAGACCTGAGCAAATTCAGGGACTGCTTCTCCCCCCACCACTTACCCGTCACAGCAGAGGGCCAGGAGGAATCCTCAGGCTCGAGCACATCCTCATAGTCCCCCTCTTGCTCATCATCCTGCTCATGCCTGTCCATCTCCCCAACATCCTCATAGTCATTCTCAGGCTCAGGCTCAGGCTCAGGCTCTGCTTCATACACTGGCTCCTCCTCCAGCTGGAGGCCTTCCAGAGTCCTAGGAGGCAGCGCTGGGGGCTCCTCATGATCCTGAGAAGAGACAGTGTGGAGCAGGGTGACTTCCACTCACCAGGAGGACTCAATGAGGACTGCTAAGACCCCCACCCTTCTCCGCCCTACGTCTTCCACCCTCCAGCCCGCCTTCACCTGACAGCATCTCCTAGGGAACACAGCCTGTCACCCATCTTTATTCCTCAACCTCCCAAACCCACCCACTCAAAACACCTACCCAGAGATGATGGGAGGAAGATGTAAAAGAAGTGAGGGGAGGGAAGCAGAAAGCAAATCAAATTCCTCAGAAAACCAGGAAAATATTGAAGCAAAAGCACATTGTTGAGATAACCATATTTTTGAGATACCACATTGTTGAGACGACCAGCTGCTCTGGTTTGCCCAGGACTGGGGAGTTCCTGCGAATTCAGGACTTTCAGTGCTAAGACCACAATAGTCCCAGGCAAACCAGAATGGTTGGTCACCTCGTACAGCCCACCATCCTAAGAGATGACGGAATGGGGTAGGGGCAGAGAATCTTTGGGGTTCTGCTTACCTCCTGGGGATTCTGCCTTGTGGGCAGGGAGGGCACTGGGTGTTCCCTGCAGGTTCTCACTGGCTCGGGCTCTGATGATGGATGACTCTCTGCTGGAGGCCAGGCCTGTGGACAATGAGGCCTCTCTCCAGTCAGCAAGCCTCCGTCTTCACTCTTACACTTACCAGGAACACCCCCCCCCCCTGCTCTCCGCCAACCCAGATGGAACCCATCCCTCGT